GCGTGCTCCGTCCCGGCTTTGTAGGGATGCGAGGTCAATGGTCTAACGACTACGGCATGCACGACTATGAGTACACCCCCCCCCCCAAATGACCCCGATTTTCGATTAGTGGGCCTATGTGTCTTGAACTTTTTTCACATGTGCCCTTGTATTACGCTCCCCGAAAGAACCTGAGAAAACACGGAACGGTGAATAAAAAAGCGTCCGGTTTTTCCGCTTGTTATTCCATAATTGTCATGTCGTCGTAACAAAACGTTTCCTTCGTTGAATGAATAGTCTACCAAGGGTTTACTCGGAGGGTCCCGGTAGTCTGCCGTTTTACCGCCGATTTTCTGTTTTACCTCCTCCACCGAAAGAGCTACCACCGAAAAACGCTTTGCCGTGTACCGCCAAACCAACTACCGCCGTACATGACGTTACCGCCGAAAAATTACCGCCGAAATGCTGTTTTACCGCCGCCGCCAAACAAGGTCCTCACCCCAAAAAAACGTGTTACTGCCTAACGCCGAAACCATTACAGCCGTACGTCAATACCGCCAAAACATTTCCGCCTTGAAGTAGCAGGCATTATCTTGTGCTGAGAATTAATGTGTACTGAGACGAACATTTTGGGAGGATGTTGGGCCAATGGGTATGTTCCATTTGTTGTTCCCTTGGTTGAATGTCCACCACCAGAGCGCGCATGGTTTGGGCAAAGTGTGCAACTTCATTTGTTTTGGTTTGCCAGATGGATACTGATTGGACTGTAGCGTTGCACACACGCTTCTGTTTCTCATTTTCTGGGTGCTTTGTTCGACAGTGTCGATGCCTTATCCGTGGAAGCTTGAACAATCCGCATACCAGTGTTGAGAAGCAACGCGTGCGCGTCATCAAGCCGGCGACGTTTCTCCACTTGAGCAGTTGACAATGCATTAGGAGGGTTTCAATAAATTTTGCTCCATGCTGACGCTTACCACCGTGGACTTCGCCATCGATTCATGCACACTGGAAATTCGTTGCTGCACATGCCCCTACCACACTAGCAAGACTGGTCGACAAATACGACTCGCAATAGACTCAGTGAACCCTCGAACACGCACTTGCTCAGCCAATGCAGGATTAGTATTCAATCAATCGGAGAGATCCTCATCTAGACAAAACCAAGTTGCAAGATATAGTCAACCCAAGCGCGTCTACACCACAGTAGGGGTATAGAAGGTAACACAGCTGAAAACAAAGTACTTTTCGGCCAAAACCTGTCATACAAATCACCCCTCCCTTAGCCGCCGCCTCATAGTTCTCTCAGCATAGGACACCATCTTTGCCTTCAGGAGCGGTACCGACTGTGCACAATTTCCAAGACCGCAACGAGTGCGACATATCCATCGAGCCCAACGACCATCAACTCTGTGGCATGCCGATTATGTGCCATCCGCACTCCTAGACAGATGGTATTCCGCCATCACTTGTCCGGCAAACAAGTAAACAAATACTACCTCGAAAGTACGGGGTTTCCGCTCAGGCGAGCGACAGTATGTTCGCCCTTTGCAGCAACCACGAGGCAGTAGTGATGCTGGGATGATATTGCGGGCACACGGACCATAATGAGGCGCATGACGAAGGCACCAGGGAGAAGGGGGAAAAACGCAACGGCTTTCAGATCAGGCCAAGGCATCGTTGATCAAACTGTTGTGTATATGCATGCCAATCATTCTGCACGTCGAAAACTATTTGCTTCCGTCGTTTGGAATATAATAATTCGGACGCACCAGCCGGGGTCATACAGAGGAAATTCAAACAGAATGTTGTTTGGCTGTTGCTCTATTTTGCTTCCTACTCTCAAGGCATCGGATTGGAACCAACGTGGACACAAATCAAAGTTCACGTGACTGCCACGGCCAAAATTCAGAAAGTCGCGAGGCTTGAATACTAACTGAACCACCGGGACGAGCGGCACTAAAGTGCACCAGGAAATAGAGTACTTCAAGTCGCAAATCGTTTCCTACACAACGGAGGATGGACAAAGAAGCATCGAATGCTGGAAGCATCTACATGCAGTCCCTTCCTGGTCATACGCGTTTGTTCTAGGAAAAACATGCCTACCATAATCAGCTCCCACTCTTCAACCTCGTCCAGAATTTCGATCTTCGAAGCACGCCGCACCTCTGCGGGGTCCAATAATTCCTGTTGATGGTCCACGTAACACGCGAACATGATGACCGACTGACGTGTCACCCACTGAACTCCTCCACGGGCATGCTTGCGGGCAGGAATCACTTAACGGGTTGGCGTCATAGCCGATGCTCTTGTTTCCTGCCACTCGCGTTGGTAGGCCACAACCTACACCAGGAAAAGCTACCTTCATTGCGCAACGACGTTCATAAAGCTCCGTGCTGACAGATGAAGAATGCCAACGATGATGCGATCCATCATCCACAACAACACCTAATACTGCCGTATTGGACCCGAACGTTGTCAATTAAGGTACCGCGCAGGGCAAGTTGAGGCGGTTTCAAGAATCCCATCCAAATCCAAAAACCTCCCTCTCAAAGCTAAATCATAGAGGCTTGCGGACTCACGGGACGCATGGGAAAAGCGTTGCTCGCTGCCTTGGCTGACACCAGGAGTATACCGTGCTCCGGCCGCTGTCCACTCGACGATGACTAGAGATTCTCTTGTGATACACGCAGGCACTGTATGCCTGGCCGCCGTTCCTTGATGTGAACAGTTCGGGTACCGCAGTACTGAAGCTGTTCTCCTCACCTGGAACACTTGCAGCATGTCGATCGCACTCGCCGAGTCCCAACCAGACTTTTTGAAGCGCTCCTCTTGCGACAGCAGGCTTGGGAATGGCTCGAGACCGGGCAGCATGCAGCCCATTCTCTGCAGTTGACAGCCGTCGCGAAGAGTTTTGCACGACGAAAAACTTGGATTAGACGCTGTTCACAAGAAAGCGTGATGCACGAGGTCGCGTGTAGGACGTCACAAAGGTGGCGCAAACAGAAAACATTGGCCAAACACGCCGAAACGCGCCAAGACGTCGGAAAACCCAACACAAAATCACACTGCCAGCTGGACAAAGGTGGCGCAAATCATGACATGGCCTCGGAAAACTATTTGGTCTGGGAGTGTGGACTACAGTGTAGAGGCACGGTTTCACCAAGGCCGTGGCCACTAGATTCCGTTCAAAGAGAGGCAGGAACGGGCGCCAACAGATCGGGCAGTATGCGGAGCCGTGTGCCCTTGCCTAGCTGATGCATGCGGTTGACTTCTGAACATGCCTTGGCGCTACGAACAACGCGATCAAAAACCTCCCAAATACGAAAATGAAATACGACTGCTCCTCTTCAAGCACGAAGACCCAACGCCATGTTGAGTAAGTCTTTCAATCGTCCTATGTGTTGCTGACGCTCCGAATTCGCATTCTCTTCGCACAGTCTTGGCTCAGGGTTATGGTTGCACAAACAAGTGCAGTTCGTGCCTCAACACAATCTCGAATATTTGCGCCGGTTATCCACGGTGACAAAAACAAAGGTCCGCCCTACAGACAGCCGACCTGAATGTTTTGCTTCATCATCTTTCCGAACGCGTCGTGAGGGCTGGTCATCTCGTACGCGGCGAAAAGCGAATCTGGAAATTTCGAGGCGCACCACTGAGGTAACGGAGCAACGAACACCACGCGTGGAGGTCGTGAAAGTCGGACATGAGTTACATTAAACCGCAGCAATTCGTGGGCCATTCGCGCTAGTCCCAAAATGAAGATTCCAAACGCTTGTTTGCAACGCTTGAGAATGCAAGGTCTTGAGAATGATGAATAGGCCTGTACAGGCGAACCAGAAACCCGTGGCGAATGGTACCACACACACCCCTACGGCAGCAGAGGGTGAAACACCTCGCGGATCAAACTTGCGATACCTGCAACAACGCGCTGGAATCGGCCGGCTCCATGTACACCAGTACGCACTCCGCCAGGAACATGGTGGGCGCCGCCAAATCCACCCCCGCCATGATAAGGGCGTCTTCAAGTGCCGTGATGTCCCGAAGGTCGGCCGCCACCAGCTTGTACAAATCTGGTAGATTTGAATGATGGTCTCAGTGTTGAGGCCTCAAAAGATCAGGACGTGTCAACCTCGCCACGTCCTGGAAGCCAGGCGGCCCGAGCCCGGGGGGTATTCTGTTCGCCCACCACGACAGCGATTGTCCTACTCAAAAACCTGGAACAGCATGTGACACACAAGCCTCGCGCTGGTAGACAGAATCGATATCCAGGATCTCGCAAGATGACTTGTAGCAATAGCGTGGCCAAGTTCTTGTCGTGTACATCGCTTTCCAGCGCACTGTTAGCCCTCGAGATTAAGCCGCTACCGACCAGAAAAAAACGGCGTAACGATAACCTCAAAAACATCTTCTTCTTCTTGACTTATTGGCCGAATTTGAATATACATCTGACTTAGACCGGAAGCCGGGCGTAAGTACTACTGGCTGCAGGTGGAGAATTGACTCTCCTTACTCTGTGACACTTGTCTACCGACCATTCACTATGAACCAACAGGACCAAATTTTCTCTCCGCACTCCGGAAGGGTGCAAACATATGGTTTTCTAAGTGCTTCGCCTGTTGCTCCATTTTTCCCCCCTTGAACTCAAAACTTTGATCCTGCTGATCGATACCTTTGGTTCCAGCGCCCACAACGCAAGAAAACGCACCCGGACCCAAGGCGCTCTTGTTGAGGGGCACTTGCGCCCGTTTGGGCTTTTATGGGCAAGATTGAGGATCGCCCAAAAAAAATATGCCGAAAATAAAGAACGTGCGCTTTCTTCAAGAGTTCATTCCCGTTTTGAAGCTCACTGGAGACACGATTGGACACGCGCACGAACGCTTTCGAGGACTAAGACTACCTTGCGTTGAAGGTAGAGTGCGAAGCCCATGCTCAGAGACTGAAAGGGCAGCCGTGCAGATGCGGTGTTGACATTCGTTGCTTGACCCGGGGCACATGATGCACATTGTGAAAATCCGAAAAAAGGATGCCGAAACATCACCCATCTTCGAGCTTGGTTTCACGTGTCTCCCGCCGTCCACAGGCTGTCACAGGCGATCGTGAGCACATGCACCGCTAGCCCTGCTCACACTGATACCCGGAGGCTCTCAACTGTACTCGTCCTCGATGAATTGGTCTCAACATGTGCTTGACCGTGTTGTTGTGCCAGCAGAGGATTTGTCATGAGTTAGCTGAATTTTCCTTCTCAAGGCGCCAACGTCAAGCTTCTTCGAAAACACGCTCGCGTGTCTCGTTAGACGAATTCATCGAGGGCGAGCAAAGTTGAGACCTTAGAAATAAGTGTGACAGGGCTAGCGGCGCATGTGCTCAGGATCGCCTGTGGTGGCTTGTGGGCGGCGGCAGCACGGAAATTAGAAAGAAGGCCCAAGACCTGCCTCTGTTGACTGCGATCTTCTTTCGTCTGTTTTTCGTCCGCTCTCAATGCTTTTTAAGTTCCGACTCTGCTGCTGCTTTGAGAAACACACACGTATGCGCTGCTGCTCCAACTGGTGGGCTATACTCGTGCTCCCGATCCGCCAGCGTAGTGCACATGACCCTCTGCTGATGGTCGCGGCTGTGTGTGTGTGTCGTGCGCTTCGTACGCCGTGGTGTTGTCGACAAACGTACGTGTGTAATGCAGAGATTTGGTGACGCGAGCGACCACCTTCAGGAGAGTTGATTGGTTATTTTGCACTGGATCTCATATGTTCGGCTATCGACCATGTACACCTTTTTGGCCAGCCATAAAGGGTAATCTCGAGGTCTACCTGTACCTCTGGCTATCACACCCTACCTCTCGATATTATGTGAAATAAGACTACCGCTCCCAGTATCAGAAACGAGTCGTCAAAACTTGCATGTGCAGTAGAAATAGACACAAAAACAGTGCGCAAAAACAAACATGTGTAACCTATTGAGGTGGAGAACAGCGTAAAAAGCAAGAAAGGCAAACAAGCGATGCTCCACGACACATTCGGGAAGGACATAAGAGAGGTTGGGTAGGGGGTTAGAATATAATCGATGCTGACCGTTTGCTAGAGCCGACAGAATGGGCGTCTTGGCGACCAACCCGCCTTTCCATGTCGAGACCGCCGGGAAGTCAACCTCAAAGTAGCCCCCTGATGGCGCCGTCCCCCTGTCCATCAATCGGAAAAACAAGGAATCCTTACCCGCCCCGAGCGAAATCACCTGCGAACGCGGTCAAAGATTGATGTGACAAGTCTTACGAGGACAGAAAAGTAACGCTTTCACCATTTTCTGTTTTCAAAACATGTGACGAACACCGTTTACACTTGATAATGGGGAACACTTCGCCATGGCATTGAGTGAAGTGAACATCACTAGCCACATGTGGCGCGAGGGCACACAATAAAACCCATGCATAAACTAGCGCAGCGACGCTTAACCGAACAACCGCTCCCAACACCGTACATCTCCGAGACTGCTCGTGAATTCAAGAGAAACGGTTAAGTTCGATTCAAATGGGCCAGGGGAAACAACAATCGATATATGCCCAAACCGCTCCGTTCCTGCCAACGGTGTGAAGACATGTCGCCAGCTACCCTCAAATCCGGAAGCGTTGCAAAGTGGGTGGAAGGTCTGAAGTGCCAAAGGCCGCGTTCCCGCGAGTCGTGCAAGCTTGATCTCATACCTGTCGCTATCGAATAATCTGCCATCATGCAGGCGTACCTGTGGTTTTCTCGCTAGGTGCTCTTCAATGCTACTCTGGGACTCTTTGCAATCGGTGTTATGGCTTGGGTGCTCGTCACCGTCTCCTGTGCACATAGCAGCGGCGGCGGCGAGAGGATAACCAGCATCAGCACCAGCACCAGCACAGATGATCACCGCGACGCGCACCACATGATCGGCACAAATCGGGGCTTCCTTGTCATCTCATCCTACGGTGGTGCACGTCCGGTTGATTCGCTTGCCGTTGATAGGAGCGACTCAGCACCCAAAGAGCGCAAGGCGACGTTCATGACGCCGCATACATGCCATGCCACGCCATGTCTGTATCATACCATATACCGATAGATCACGACAAAAGGTTCGTACGTACGGGACTGCGATCGTTGAGCAACCTCGTTTGTTCCGGTCGTACTCGTGCAGTCGTGGACGAACTCACTGCCGCTGCAGTGGGAAATGGAAATGGAAAAAAAACGGTTCGGTCTTCGAGGCTCCTCAATTCCGAGCTCCCCGACCTGACTGGCCAGGTTCTCAGAATCGAGGTTGAGATGGAGCTCGGAAATCCTTGTGATTGAAACCGAGAGTATCCAGTTGGGTGTTGCTTAACCGAGGAATTTCGCAGGGGGTTCTTTCCGCTCACAGTTTGATTACCAGCAGCGATCGGATCTACGCAGAGTACCTGCCTCGGTTCGGCTGTCCATTAAATATATCACCTCTGGCATACCCCGACAACAGAGAGAGAGAGAGGAGCAAGAGAGCGAGACTTGGATTGAACAAGGTACGGTTGGCGGTTATTTCCCATCCTGAAGCGTGCTTCCCTCGGCATGGGATTGCTGTTGCTGTTGCCTCCTCCTTCGCAAAGTTTCCGCTGGAAAACCACACCATGAAAACACAATCCCCGCGCACTTGAACCAACCGCTCTCTGTCTTGGGTATTTTTGGGTCAACCAATTTCTTATCCCGACGCGCACAATAACCCACGGCACCAAACCTTGGGCATGAAAGATGCAGCCGAGAGCTACCTCCTGCCGAGTGGCCTTGCTATTGTTGTTGCTCCCTCCTTCGCCAAATTATGGTTGGAAAACCGAACCCGTGGCGGTCAAACACACCGAACTTGCATAACCGCTCGCGGTCGTTGACGGTCGTACGTCACCACATACTTTTTTTTCCGGCTCATTCGGCACACGATGGCACCAAACCTTGGCATTTGCCCAACAGCCCATGGCATTACCTCCTTCTAGATACTATTCCTGAGGTAACTCGTTCAGTACTCGTCGAGATATCGGTGAACACCGCCTTCCCAATCGAAGCTGGAGAGAGGTCTACGTGCGGGGTAGGGGTAGCAGCTTGACGTGGATTGGCGGAAGTCTCGCCGCGGAACTTTTTTAGACACCGTCGCGAAAAAGTTGCAGAAATTCTTCAGCAGATTGCAGCTTTTTGCTCCGGCCGAAAGCTTCGCAGCCTTTGCTCCCATGAGCATACGTCAGAACAGTTGCAAAAAAGTGTTTGGGAACTTTGTCATTTTTGCAAAATTCTCCTCCAATAAAAAGTGGTGTGACGGCGGCGATAACGAAGCCGGGTGACAGAAACATAGCGCTTGCACAGGCTCTCGCCCCACTGCTGCGGGTCGGTCGTGTTCAACACCTTCAACCCTGAAAATGACGCGTTCTACCCGAGCGCGGATGACACTCTTACATCACGATATCAGCACCACTTTGTCGAGGGACATGTTAATCTTCGTAGTCTCCCGCCCGCAAATTCAGTGATCTCGTTCGAGTGGGTCGAGTGGATGTGAGTTGGCCGTCAACTACCAAACGCGCCAGAAGCTATCGACAAAAATTGCAGTACACTTCCGTACCTCTGATTTGGTGAGGTACTGATGAGGGATGACTTGGCACTGATGAAGTACCGATGAACTCCAGCACGAGCTTCTCCATACAAGAAACGCGAGCGAAATTTCCTGACGAACAGAAGGGCAGAAAAACGGAAAAGCTTGGGCCACATAGACATATATTCATATTGATGTGCACCTCCTCGACGACTTTCGTCGGCGTTGCCTGTCTGAAGTTTCCCTTGTTTTTTTTCGGCAAGTCGCAGCTGCTCGAGCACGAGACACAACCAAAACAAAGTGACCGAAGAATGAAGGCGTCCAGACCGCGATAAAGACCATGGTGCCGACGATGACAAGGCCAGAGAACTAAATCCGAATAAAACCTACGATGACAGGATACTACAAAATAGAAGTAAACGCGAAAGAATCGCACGAACAAACGCCTCAAGTAGTTCTCCCCGACGGGCTGACAGGTGGAGATGGCCGGGGCGCCGGGACTCGCGGAGGGAGCGGCACTTTCGACAGCAGTGTCGGGGAAGAGAGTGGTGACCCCCGGAGGCAGGGATTTCCCCGCGGCGGCGGCAGGGGAAACGGCCGAGCAGCAGATACGTGTATCTGGAGCGTCAGCATCGGCCGAAGCACCGGCGGCGAGAGGAGGGCCCACCGGCAGTCATATGCTCCCCGCGACGCCGGCCGTCGGGACGGCCGGGGTGCAGGCACTCGCGGCTAGAGTGGTACCATCGGTAGCAGCACCGGCGGCGAGAATGATGACCCGCGGCGGCAGGGTTTTTCCCGCGGTGGCGGCGGCGGGGGAGACGGCCGGGCAGCAGGCACTCGTGGCGGGAGCCGCAGCGTCGGCAGCAGCACCGGTGGCGAGAGGGGGGACCACCGGCAGTCACGTGTTGCCCGCGACGCCGGCCGTCGGGACGGCCGGGGTGCAGGCACTCGCGGCTCGAGCTGTACCATACGGCTGGGCTGCAGGCACTCGTGGCGGGAGCCGCAGCATCGGCAGCAGCACCGGTGGCGAGAGGAGGGACCACCGGCAGTCATGTGTTCCCCGCGACACCGGCCGTCCGGACGGTCGGGGTACAAGCACTCGCAGCTAGGGCGGTACCATCGGTAGCAGCACCGGCGGCGAGAGTGGTGACCCCCGGCGGCAGGGTTTTCCCCCGGCGGCGGCGGGGGAGACGGCCGGGCAGCAGGCTCTCGTGGCGGGAGCGGTAACATCGGCAGCAACACCGGCGGCGAGAGTGGTGACCCCCGGCGGCAGGGTTTTCCCCCGGCGGCGGCGGGGGAGACGGCCGGGCAGCAGGCTCTCGTGGCGGGAGCGGTAACATCGGCAGCAACACCGGCGGCGAGAGGGGGACAACCGGCAGTCATGTGTTCCCCGCGGCGGCGGCCGGCCGGGACACACGCACTCACGAACGGGGCAGCGGCACCACCGTTGATGGGAGCGGCGACGACAGGAGAGGTTACCGTGACGGTGGCGACGGAGGGTGGACTGGGCTACCGCACGCCATGAGCCAACCCGGCAGACGGCGATCCGTCAGTAGCGGTACAAGGTAACGCCTACGGTCACGCGGTCGGGGTCTCGTCGAACGGATATGGTGGCTGGTTGTCGGCGCGTGTACTTCATTGCCACACTCGCGGGCTCGTGTAGAGAACGTTGCTGCGCAAAGGAGTCACTCAAGTTCCGCCCGAAAACGAACAGTCCACGACCGGCACCGAGTGGACAAAAAATAACATTCCCCCACGCCCCTACGTACATGTAATACTCCTCTTTTGGTAAGGAAATCCTGCCACTACCGCGGCACTTGCTGATCTACGCACATACTTACATCTGGTAAAGCACGAATACAGCCAAATACTCCTATTTATTAGATGAGATCACCCAGAACGCGCTCTGCTCATTGTTTGCATGCGAGCGGACCCCAGTCTAGCTTTCTTTCCTTTTCCCAAAAAATGAGCGGGACAGGAGATTGACCGGAGGGGAGAGAGGCAGAGGGCGTATAATCTGCGTTTATTTCCTCCCGTCTGAACATGGAACAGAACTACGACGGTTGTTAATTTGGTGATCGAGTGCATGGGGGGGGTAAAACACCTGTCTGTGGGCCCGACCAGGTGACAGGATGTGGCAAGGAACCGCCCCTCCCACCCCCAAGGCCTGTTTGCCATCGGGGTTGGGTTTTCGTCGCTTGGCAACGACGTTGTAAAACAAGCCAATTCACTTCGTGAACTCGGCAACCAGGTTACCNGTCTAACGACTACGGCATGCACGACTATGAGTACATCCCCCCCAAAAAAGCAACCAAACAAACAAACAAAGCGGCGTCTGCGGTGAACTTGGGCAGTTGACGGGGCTGGTCCTCATGCTCATCGACGATGGCCCCCCACACGCATTGGACGTCCAACAAGGCACACTGGTGTGTTTGAGCTACTGCTGTAGGGGGGGTGTTGTAAGGATACATATACGTGGAAGGAGGGGTGTTGTTGCAAGGATATGTGGAAGGAGGGCCGCGACTTGCGTTGTGGGGGCTGCCACCGGTGCGAAGAAGGATATATCCGACAATACAATTGTTCTTGTTTGAGGGCATGGATGAGACGGACGACAGGACGGACAGTTGCACTAAAGTCAACTTCATGTCAACGTAGAAAGTTCGATCCGATGTGGACGTGAGTAGCCACGTAGACACATCACCAAACCATGTACTGCAGCAAGACCCGAGGGGCAACGACAACTGTAAGTGCGGTCCGGAAACCTTGTTTGGCATGCGGTCCGGCAATACTGCTCAAAAGCAACGTAGTCTAGATTTTTTGTAGGTTACCACAAAAAACGAGAGCTACGCGCATCAACGAGGGGCCCGCAGATATGTAGATATTATTCACTCCAACCATGCGTCGTGCTCACGAACGAGAGCAATGAACTATGATTGTTGCTGTCCGTGCACGTTCGCGAATGAGTTATACCCGTAAGTGTGTGTCTAACACAAACAACAGACAGATAAAAAAGCAACCTCCGAGATGCCCACTGTTGTGCATCGACAACAGCGTGGTGAGTGAGGAATACAAACCATCAAGGTAGGAAGCCCAGCTCCCTCAGCAAGAAAAAACAAATTGCTGCTACCTGCAACTATCTGAGAAGGATATATACCCGTCCAATAGAGGTGAAAATGGATTTTTTGGTGGTGGGGGGATATAGGACCCCAACAAACTGTATAGGACCCCAACAAACTGTTACAAAAAAATAAATACGCGGAGAGACCCGGCGAGGAGAAAGAAAGCAGCAATCAGTAGACGAAATAAATGTACTACCTGGATAGTACCGAAAGTGATGATGGGAGAGAGTTCGCGAATCCTATGCAGCAAAGGAACACACACACACTGAGAGGAAGTCCTTTGCCCGCCGTGAACCCGTTCTGATGTTGGCGAGCAACGCTCTTCGAGGCCATCTAATGTGCTCTCGAAAATCGGCAGCGGCAAGGGCGGCAATCGCAATTAACCGTAGACAAACGCTTCGCGGACCCTTCAAAACAAAATTGTTTACAAGGACGTATTCGAATAGCCGGCAAGGGGAGGGACGGAGAGAGGAGAAACGGGAGTTGTGGGCGAAGGCGTTTATGTAGTACATGCTTCCTCCGTGGTGGGGAGGGCCTAACTAACTGAACTCTGCGTGACATGGAAAGCGTCATCAGTTGGTGGCTTGCGGCTGTCTTGCAGTTACGGAACACACCGACAACATTATGAGCATGGGCGAGATGCGCGGAGGGACGGGTAAAAGTCAAGTTAACGTGAAGAGGGACGGCAGTCGCACAACTTGTCAACTTGTCAACGTTCGACGTAGACCTGTGTAGCCGTGTAGATGCACACCACACCACCGAACCATGTACTGCAGCAAGACCAGGGGCAACGATCGCGGCGGTTGACATGCGGTCCGAAAACCCTGCTTCACATGCCACTGCTCAACTCAGAACAACCACACGAAAAACCGAAAAAACAACACGCGCGCGCATGGAAGACAAACAAAAGGCCGGCAGAGATACTTAATCCGAAAACATGCTCCTCAACGATGATTGCTGCTGTCTGTGTACGTTTTGGGGAATGAGTGACGCGTACGGGTGTCCAACCCTAACAGACAGAAAGACCGTATAAGTCCGAGATGCCCGCTGTGGTGCTATCACAAAACCACCAAGCAAGGAGGCGGGAAGCCCCGCTCACTCAACAAGAAAAAAAACAATGTGATGCACCGCACGGGCCCACTTTGTCTGTTCAACCGCCGCGGTTGGGTGTCGACACGCACAAGGCCGACTCTTGTCGGCCACAGGAAGCGGAAGCCCCTCAAACTCTGGGAGGGGTCATGATCTGCGATTCCCCACCCAACCATACTCAACACTCCGCGAGATTTTGCTCTGTAGCTCGAGAGCAGCATTTCCGGCCAAGTCAGGCGAGGGGGGGAGTCGCATGAAACTTCCACGGATATTGGTCTAGGAAGCTGAAGCTAAAGCTTCAGAACTCTAGCTACGCATATCCGCGGGGCTACAGTCGAGAGATATGCCCACGCACAAAGTGCGGTGACGACTCCTAGACAGATCTTGGCGTTAAGAGCGACCAATCAACTCCTTCACGTTGTGTCTCTCCCGATTGTGTCCACCCGGGAAGGACAGTCATCCACAAGCTGTCTCGTGTCCCGAAACGGCTTGAAAGACATACACTAGGTAGGTCACCCCCCTTGCTGTCTGGAATAGTGCGGGGCCCCGATGAAGTGCGGCATAAACTTGGAACGGTTTTGGAACTACAATCAACGCATCCTCCACACCAAACATGGGTAGGTCCGGCGATAGGGAGTAGAAAAAACAAGTATTTGTGACTCCACAAAAACCAAGTATCGGAGGCTTGGCATAAACCGGAGCGCAACCTTAGCACAGGGGTGCGGGGGAAAAGCAAGCACCAAGTGATTCGATTCGACTATTGCACGGCACGGCGACAGGAGTGTTGGCTCACAGCAAGACCTCCATACCTTCGGTGAGGTCGGTGTTACTGTACCTCGAGCGCTGTCCAGTATATTTTACCGGGATACCGGAATAGCGAAGGGGATTTACCGTCGGCCCTGCTGTGACGGTGCACAACGGAAGATTTTTTTTTCTATTTTGTCTTCAATTCGAATCAGCGCAAGAGCGCAATGGACAAGGTCATTTTATTGAAGCCGGATGACTGTTTTGTTTAATCCGTAAACGATCAGCAATCCACATCCCCGCATTGGCTATTTTCAGTATCGCACAGACCGGAGTCATTGCGGTGTGTGCCAGAAGTCATCTGGGGCCGAATGACTGTACAATAGTCTAAATAAGAGGAATACGCAAATCGAGTTCAACACACATAAGCCCACGAATCGAATTCTGGGTCCTTGAGGGAACACACGGATCGCCCCCGTGGTCTAGTGGGTAGCCTCGCAGCCTGCTAAGGGCCAGGTCATGGATTCGAGTCCCGACAGAGTGAGTTTTTTCTCGCTAAATAAATCCTGGTCTCCGTTGGAAGCGACGCGCTGCAAAGCTCGTTGTGAGCAAACTTGATCGACTTCATAAGTCGCGAGGGAAGGGATTGCTGTACCCTTTTCGCGATAAAACTATGTCAGGCAGGAACCGCAGGAGGTGGTCCAACCCCCCCCTCCCATGTGACCCCGGTAGGGTCGTCAAGCTGGTAGAAGTGGAGGACATAGGGGCCAGAGGGGCAGACGACAGAGCCCAATGATGGGAGAAACAAAAACAAAAAACAAAAATGCATACGACGAGAGAATCCATTTGCAGCTGAGGTGTTTCCGTTCACGCGGGGATACATCCCAGAGGTCCCCGGGTTCTGAGCTAAGGTTGCTTCGCTGAGGTGGGGACTACACGTATGTCAAACTCCCCCCGGCATACGTACTGAGGCGTTTTCGCTGTCGTTGCCACTTCTCTATGTGTGAATGCATATGTCATATGGACCTGGAGACCGATGTCGAGAGGTGGCGGACAATAACCCGCAACCCCCAAGGTTGAGGGTGCTAGGGCTGTCTTCGAAAGCTTCTCATGCTAGTATATCGGTCGCCCCGGTGGTCTAGTGGTATCCTCGTAATCTGCTAGTCGCAGAGGTCGTGAGTTCGAATCCCCATGGCGTGAAAAATTGACGAAATGTGCGGGTGAAAGCGAAAAATAGCTGACAAGCTCTCGTGAGTACCAAACTTCGACGTTAGCACCGTTGACGAGGGAAAGGGACGGCTGGACCCTTTTCGCGATTAAAATAAAATTCAGCACGCACCGCAGGAGGAAGAAGGGGCATGAAAAGAAATGAAAAGAAGAAAAAAGCCCTGGTGTTTAACCCCTCCTGTGTGACCCTGGATGGTTGTAGCCGTACGAAAAAATACACTGAAAAGTGTAGTACTCTAAATACGCTGAAAAGTGTAGTGCACGTCTCACCACGAAAAATGGGGGGACTGTCGCCATAATAAATATGACGAAAACACACAACACACACGCCCCAATGAACCTTCAA